TCTCCCAGCTCCTCTGCTCCTGGGCCATCTCACCTTGTCTCTTCCATATGTTAGTTGCTCTTTTATTTTTTATTTTTTTTTTAAGATTTTATTTATTTATTTGACAGACAGAGATCACAAGTAGGCAGAGAGGCAGGCAGAGAGAGAGGAGGAAGCAGGCTCCCTATGGGGCAGAGAGCCCAATGTGGGACTCGATCCCAAGACCCTGAGATCATGACCTGAGCCGAAGGCAGAGGCTTAACCCACTGAGCCACCCAGGCGCCCTGTTAGTTGCTATTTTAAACCACAGCCTCTTTCTGTGCCCCAGGACAGAGGGATGTGTTCTCTGTTCCTCTTTCCCTCTTTCCCCGCGGCTGCTGACAGCATGGGGGTTGGGGTCGGGGGTTCCCTTCCTTCCAATGTCTCTTGCTCTTCTCTTGTCATTCTCTCTGCCTTTGGTTGTTCAGTAGCTCTTCAGTCAGCCCTCAGTACTTCAGGGGAAATTGTTCGATTGTTAGGTGTAATTTGATATATATATTCTGGTGGAGAAAGTGAGTTCGGGGTCTTCCTGCATTCTTGCGTCTTGGACCTGACTCCCAAGAACTCCTAGAAACTGCATTTTTAATAGAGTCTGCAGGAGATTCTGATACAGGGGTTTCTGGGACCACATGATATGAAAAACTATCCAGAAATATTTGGTAAAAAGTAGTCTCTTGCAATAAATTTTCCTGTGGGAGTCAATTTGCAACGGGAGACCTGGATTAATTTTGCGTATTCAGTTTACAACCTGTGGGATGATCCATGAGTCAAATCACTGAGTCTGAATTTCCTTTCTTTGACCCACACCAAATATGGAACGCTAGGCCCCGGAGTGCAGTTTAGATCTGTGAGGTCTAAGGCAATCCTTTAGTTTTCCCAGCTGTATAATGGAAATAGTAACCCATGTAATATTGTTTAATGGCTGTCTTAGAAATTCATGTATTTATGCTTTAGGCTCTGAAGGAGTGATATTATTCTGAGAGGTTTTTTTTTTTTTTAATTTTTATAAAACTTCTACCCATGATGTATATAATCATAAAAACCTGGGGAGTATAGTTCTCATAGTTGATTTGGTGAAAGAATGGTCAAGTGATAGATAGGAGAAAGGCTTCCTCCATTCTTGAAACTATAGAAAGCAGACAATGATTTTCCCAACAGATGGTTGGGACGGATGATTGTCCCAACAACAGGAGTACCATGAGGTATTGTGAGTCCAGAGATGATATCTAGTGAGAGAAACCTGCAACTTGGATAAGTCTGTAATTCTGATTGGTTCTCTTACTTCATAATTTGTTATCCTGTTGTCATAAAGGGACATACATTTATAAATGGTATAAATTCTTGTGGTACTATAGATGGTATCAATACTACCCTTAGACTGAGGGAAGAGGGGCCCCTGACTTTGTCCTTATGCTTTACAAGGTCCCACATTTCATAGATACCCACAAAAAATGTAAATTTTTAAAAGAAGACACGGCATCTCTGCTGCTCAGAATCTGGTTCTTAATCCATGCAGAGCAGGATTTGCACAACCTCAACATCCAGCCCAGGGGAAATGCATCTCTGTGTCTCACCTTCTTCATTCAGAGAGGAAAGAAGTTGTATTGTGCAAGTTTCTGTGTTGGGAGGGTGCTGATTTGAGAGACACACACCGGGTTTGGAGTGCAGAGAGGAGCTCTGCAACAGAAGTGGTTAGATTAGAGAAAAGGCAAATTTATCTGTCTGCTCAAAGCTTTCCTCTTAGCCCAAATGAAGAATTATTTTCCAGTGCATTAGTACTGGCTGCCTCTCTCCTGGCTTCTCTTCTTGTTCTAATTCCTGGCTCAAGAAGTACTCATGAATCCATACAGTATTCGCAACAGTTGCATATGGTGGTCAAGTAACATTCTGCAAATTAAGAAATGCACAGTCCTCTTTTTTTTTTTTAAAGATTTTATTTATTTATTTGAGAGGGAGAGAGAGAGAGAGAATGAGAGGAGAGATGTCAGCGGGAGAAGCAGACTCCCCGCTGAGCAGGGAGCCCGAAGTGGGACTCGATCCCAGGACTCCAGGATCATGACCTGAGCCGAAGGCAGTCGCTTAACCAACTGAGCCACCCAGGCGCCCCTGCACAGTCCTCTTATATCTGTAAGCACGTAGAGTTAGATTTCTACACTAAGCCAAACTTCCTTCTGCATTTGGACTCTCCTTTGGAGCCAACTTGCCCATGAATGGTTGTTCGGTACCAGTGTTTAAAGATAAAATGATACAGGACTAGATTTTCATACCCATACATACCCAGACAACAGGATACGGGAGTTGTCCAACCTGTCTTTTGAATATAAAGGCAGTAACAGCATTTTAAATGCTAGTAATAAGAAGGGTACAATACAATGAAACCGAACCTAGAGGTTAAAATAGAAGGCAACAGAAGAGCTGGCTTTCTTTATGTTCATTTGGAACAAGAGTCTGTTCATCAGTCGAATCTGCTTTTTGGCTATTATGATTTTTTAATAGTTACATTGAAATATAATCTATATACTGTGCAGTTCACCCACTTAAAGGGTCCAATTCAGTAGCTTTCAGCGTTTCCCAGAGCTGTGCAACCATCACCACAGTAAGTTTTAGAAGATTCCCATCACTCCCAAAACACAATTCCACAGCCCTTTCCTGACACCTGTGATCCTGCCACTCACCCCAGCCCCAGGCGACCCCTGTCTACTGTCTCTCTCTGTATTTGCCTTCTCTGAACTTTTCATATCCATAGACCTTTTGTGGTTGGCTCTTTCATTTAGCATAATGTTTTCAAGGTTCTTCTATCTTGTAACGTGTATCAGTGCTACATTTCTTTGGAATAAATGCAGTAAGTACTACACTTATTTGTACTGCTCAGTAATATTCCACTGGGAGAATATCCCTTACTTAATAAGTCAACTCATCGGTCGATGAATCTGCTTTTTGGCTATTATGAATAATGCTGCTATGAACACTCATGTACAAGTTGATGGGAACGTGTTTTCCTTTCTCTTGGGTATATTCCTGGGAGTGGAATCGCTGGGCTGTACGGTAACACCACGTTTAACATTCCAGGAGCTGCCAAACTGTTGTCAGAGTCGCTGAACTGTATTACATGAAGGATTTTAGTTTCCCTCTTGCAGTCTCCCAGGAAGGTACAGATCCCAGCAAGAAGCAGTTGCACTGTAAACCACAGGAAAATAGCTTAATTATTAGTCAAACCACATGACTCCCTTCCCAAAACTAGGTGATGGGGGAAATGGTGGAGGAAAGCGGGGGGATCCAGGAACACGTGGTCTCTGGGTAGAACCCACATTGCCCAGGTTGGCCTCTGAGGTTGATGGTGTACGTGTTACGCTGGGCACAGATTGTGAAAGTCACTTGGCAGGAAGTAGGAAGAAAGATAAACAGTGACCGTGACTCGAGGTCTGCTGCCCCTGGGGACTGTCTCTGAGCTCAGTGGTAAAAGGGTCTACGGGCAGGAGCTGAGAAACATCTCACGGAGGACTCCGAGGTTGGCAAATCAGTACTCAGTGCCACTTGGCACCCAGCCAGATGCGAGAAATTCTCCTCACTCTCTCACGAGCACTAACATATTTGAGACCGTCTTTGCCAGGACATCAGGACTCTCAAGGTGGCAATCAGATGTAGAGAGTGATGAGACATTTTGAAGCAGTTTTGTGGGCGGAGGACCTTAGCGCACAGGGGTGCCAAGCCTGCATGTAACAGATGTGATCGGGTCATTCTGACCGACTTGTTCATCAACACCCGGGACACGCCTACCAGGGGCTTGTTTTTTCCTGGGTGGGTATCTGAGGGGAGTCAAATGTCGTGCACTGAGAAATGGCCAAGAGACTGAGAACCCAGGAATGACGGGTCATCCCAGTTAATGTGGATCTATTCATTGTTCCTGGATAGTAAGATTTCAGGAGACTTGGGCTATAAACACAATTTTGTTTATTATTTTCTAATCATTTTTGTGGGCTTTAAGTCCTCAAATAAAAACTGAGTGTACTATGTCGTCTGTCTCCTCCCTATTCTTTCCACCTTTTTCCTTTCAGGAACCTCTTCTAGCAAGGGTTTTGCTGCATGGGCAAGATTGTGTACAGCTGGGTGGACTTCTTCAGCTCTCTACAGGGGCCGGGTGGTCCTCTCTCAAGGTCAGCGTACCTGCCTCTCTTACCTTCCACTCAGAATACCCCCGATTTTCCTCCCCAGGCACCAGAGCCCAGAATAAGGAAGCTAAATCTTTCCCTAAGACATACGCTTGTCCCATTCGGTCCAATGGGATGAGTTTACCTTTGCAGGTGGTGTGAATCGTATTTTCCATAGACAATTCTCAGAAAGTGAGAGAGACTTCAGGGCTATTTGTCTCTTTCTATTTTCTGACTAATAGGAAAAAACTCTCCAACATGCATTTGAATTGCCTCCAGAATGAGGCAGATAACAGAATGGGCGACAATGCCTCATTCTCACAATGGAGGTCAGGATGCAGATGGAAACACATGGTGTTAATAAGGCCTAACAGAGAGAAGAGAAGCAGTCCGCCCATTCTCAGTGTGGGGGCGGGGGTTCGTGTACGTGAGGGTGCACGGTCCTAGGTGTCAGGGCGTAAGCTAGAGTCCTGGATTCCTAAGGCTTAAGGGGAAAAAGTCTGTTCCATTCAGTGGTTATAATGCTAGACCGGTCTGGGTTATATGGAGGCAGTTTGCAACCAATATAATGTTTCATTAATTAGTAGCTGGGTCCACAAGACTCACGGTGCAGCGGAATTTCAAACACAAAAACAAAACCAAGAACACTCTTTTTTTTTTTTTAAAAATATTTAATTTATTTATTTGATAGAGAGAGATCACAAGTAGGCAGAGAGGCAGGCAGAGAGAGGGGGAAGAAGCAGGCTCCCTGCTGAGCAGAGAGCCCCATGCGGGGCTCGATTCCAGGACCCTGAGATCATGACCTGAGCCGAAGGCAGAGGCTTTAACCCACTGAGCCACCCAGGCGCCCCCAAGAACACTCTTTTATGTTCCATCCCTCCAAGTTATTTATTCATTAAATCTGTGGCTTTTTCCAGGAATCCATACTATGCATCAATTTATTGAAATACATTTCACATACAATACTGCAAATTTAATGTTGATTTGATACATTTATATATTATGATTGTAGCAACAGTTATTGTAGCAATAGTTACCACCTCTCTCATGTCATGTAATTATCATTTCTTTTCTTTGGTGTGAATAATCAAGATCAAGCCTCTTAGCAGGTTTGATGATTAGAATACAATATTGTTGTCTATATTCATGATACTATACCTTAGATCTCCAGGATTTATTTACTAGTTGTGAGTTTGTACCTTTAAACAACATCTCTCCCACTTCCCTAACCCACATCTCCTGGTAACCACTATTTAATTTTAAATTAATCTGAACAGGCAAATATTTTGCAACCCAGAGGATGACTGAGGGTTTGTTTCATGCTGGGTCACCTGACTCTGGTTTGGTTCGCACTGATCCTGATCTCATGGACTATTCAGTATTTACCTAGAAAACCCCAATCACTCCAAGCAAACCATGAATTTTGTGGTTTCCTTGAAGATTTTCAGGGTGAAAAGAAGTTTTATATCACCTAATTTACAGCAGTATAATTGGGGAAAAAAATTCTCTATTAGTGATGTCATTTCGCAAGACCTTTTGCTAGGTCCTTGGTGTCCAAATGAGCCTTCTGTTCTGCTGTTTTTCTCTTACTGTGGGCCTGTGCTCATCCAAGCCTTTTTGAATAAAGCAAGTCTTCGTCATACAAGGAAATTTTCCTAAAAGTGGCCAAGAAAATGAGATTTTTTTTCTCCATGGATTTATAGTCTGCAAGGACAAACCAGCATTTTTTCTCTCTCTCTTTTGTCTGCTCAATCCCTGTCCCTACTGGCGTGACATTTATTTTTTTTTACACACGTTTTAAAGTTTTTATTTATTCTTTTTATTCTTGACATGCTGTAATCTGGGGAGGCTAGAATGGATGTGAAATCTTCCCACGTGCCTCCTGAAACCCTTGTACCCTGACGGCCTGGCCCCACTGCTCGTCTTGGTTGTGCTCTCTCCAAATTCAACCTGTTCTCTGCTCTCTTGTTTTCAAACTATGTTCCCACCTCAGTTAATGGGGCAATTTAACTCAGGATGTATAGACAGTCTAGACTGAGGACTATCTGGGAGGAAGCAGAAGTGAGGGAGAGAAGATACCCAGCCCTATGGAGGCTTTGGTCCCCCCGCCTTTGAATGGACACATTAGTGTCTCTGCAGGGCCAAACTGCACAAGATCTAAAATGATTCCAAGGGTGGAAAAACATTGCAAAAACAGACCACACTGTTTCAGATGTGAGGGATCTGGCTGCTTTATCTAAACCCAGAGACAAATCCAAGACATCACCACAGGGAGGATGACTAAGGGAATATCACAATGCAAACTACTCCCAAGAGGTCAGTTGGGAAGTAGCCCCCTAACCAAGCCCTGCGACCCTCTCCTCCCTCCCCTCTCCAATCTAATCCCTGTCCCAGAACTCCCTGGGCAATTCATGTGTGATACCCAGCAGGTATCCTCCCCAAACCCGGTGCAGACCCATGACCAGCAGCTCAGTCCACGCCTATGCTGCTGTAAAGTTGTCCCATATCATGAATACCCACTTGGTGGAAGGGTTTCTGCTCCCTTCCCTGTATCGTCCCGCCAGCACTATATATTGATTCCTTATTCCTCAGTGAAAGATACTGAATGGAGGAAGTTTCCAGAGTCCAAACACCTCTAGGAGTTTTCCTCTGCTGGCCGCATGTCTCCATTCAGCTCCTGAAGAAATGCCAAGAGGTGCAAAGCCACGGAATCAGTTCCGTTTTTAGAAAGCCTGGTACAGGCAATTTTCTGCAGCTTATTTTTCATCTTTTCTTTCTCCTTTGATTCCTGGTTGATTTTCATGCCCTGTATGAAATAGTGGATGGCCTTGTCTTCGCACTTCAGCTGGTACAGCTGGAAGTTGCCGTAGCGCAGGTGGAGCACTTGTCTGGCTCCTGGAGAAAGCTCTTTGCTGAATTCTTTCTGGAAGTAATGCTCCGCGGCATCATACTTACCTGCCTGCGCGTAGAGACAGGCCAGGTAGGAGCAGACACAGGGGAGCTCTGCACTGGCCTCATCCACTCTTTTTAAATGATACACAGCTTGTTCTATGGTTTCCTGTAACTTCGCCCTTTGGCCGCTCATCTCATTCCTTCCTGGGTCCTGGAGCATCTCGAGGACTTTGGTCCTGTAGAGGCAGCCAATTCGCCAGTGCAGGATGGTGCTGTCCGGAGAACTTTCCAGGGCCTTTCTCAGCAGCTCTGCAGCTTGGTCCAGGGCCCCTTTCCTCCGATACAGCTTTGCTGCTTGGCAGAGCACATCTGTCGCCCCCGGGGCTCCCTTCAGCGCCTCCTCCACGAGCCTGTCTGCTTCCTCTTCCTCCTTCATCTTCTGAAGCTTCAGCGCCAAGAGGACTTTCGCGTACTGGTTGTCAGGATTCAGCCGGATGGCCCGCCGCAGAGGGTCCACGGGATTCTGAGGCTGTGGCCAGGCGTCCAGACGGTAGCTGGCGATGGCCAGTCCCAAGGCAAAATCCGGGTTCTTGGGCTCCTTTTCCAGAGCCTTCTTAAAGCACACCTTGGCCCTCTCGTTGTGCCTCCCTCCACACTGTAGCCGGGCCCACCCCTCCTCAAAGTCCAGCTCTGGGCTTTCCATTCTGTAGGGGCTGCGAGCCTCCGCGCAGACTCGTCTCACCTTGTCCACATACATCTGCGCGTCTGCGTGTCTGCCCAGGTGGTAGGAGACCCAGGCGAAGTTGCCCCAGGTGACCAGACTTCGGGTGTCCGCTTGCTCCGGGTGTTCCCGCCGGATCAGCTCCTCCGCCCGCCGCAGGCACTCCAGCGCCGCCTCTCCGTGGCCTCTGCGGTGCTCAATGTAGGCCTGGATGTTGAACACCGTCGCTCTGAACTCGTTGTTCTGAAACTCCGTGGTGTTACACACCTTGTCTTCAAACTCATCCAGCGACTCTCCTCCCTCCACCAAGTTCCAGTTGAAATGGCATTTCAGCTGCGGTAAGCAGCTCTCCAGGGCGGTCATGGTGCTCTCGCTGGAGGGCAAAACAGAAAGATGCAGGCTGTCAGACAGGGCATGGGTTCTCCCGGGGAGCAGAGCAAGTGCAATTCTCTTCCTACTCCTTCTCCTCCTCGACGGTGTTCACTCCAACCAGAAGAGAACAGTATTTCCTTTTCATTTCTTTCTATATTTTGGCATCTGCATTAAGTGCACAGGGACACAGGGGTTGGGTGATGGTGGGGGGCAGAAGGATTAGAGAAAGGGTTGGGGTGGGATTTGGAGGCCCGGGAGCTAGGTTTCCCTGAACAGGGCGGTTTGTGAGGGTCGGGCTGGCTCTTTGCTGTCTGCCGTGAGGGCCTATGCAGGTGCAGCACATCTTGCGGGACAGATTTCAGTGGAGGATTGACTTTGTGTCGCTTTGGTTTTCTGTTTTAAAGATTCTATGAGAAAAAGACATAGAGACAGCATGGGCAGGGGAGGGGCAGAGGGAGAGAGAGGGAGAAGCAGACTCCCTGCTGAGTGCAGAACCCAAGGACTTGGGGCTGGGGCTCCATCCCAGGACCTGGAGATCATGACCTGAGCCACAGTCAGACGCTGAACTGACTGAGCCACCTAGGCACCCCTGAGTTGACACAGTTTTTAAGAAGAAAGCCTATTTGATTGCTTTATGTTCCTGTTCTTCATCTTACCCAGCATTTGCTTTCCTGGTTTGAAAATTTTAGCTTTAGAATTGTCTATTCTGTTCCTGTCTTGCCAGCTTGATTTTAATCTCATTATCCCTCTGAAATTCAACCACATTTGTCTCCTGTATATTCAGTTTCTTAGTTCCCCTTAATCTGTCCTTTTGTCCTTATTACTTTACATTTCTTGTCTTATTATTTGAGCTTTTCATATATCCTTAATTGACTTTCTGTGGTTATCCAAACTTTTTTTTTTTAATATTTTTTATTTATTTATTTGACAGAGAGAGATCACAAGTAGACAGAGAGGCAGGCAGAGAGAGAGAGAGAGAGGGAAGCAGGCTCCCTGCCGAGCAGAGAGCCCGACGAGGGACTCGATCCCAGGACCCTGAGATCACGACCCGAGCCGAAGGCAGCGGCTTAACCCACTGAGCCACCCAGGCACCCTCAAACTTTTTTTTTTAAATCCAATTGGTTTTGTCTTGTCTTTTTATTAATTTGGCATTCTCTGTTCTCCTTTTTTTTTTTTTAAAGATTTATTTATTAGACAGAGATCACAAGTAGGCAGAGAGGCAGGCAGAGAGAGAGGAGGAAGCAGGCTCCCTGATGAGCAGAGAGCCCAATGCGGGGCTTGATCCCAAGACCCTGAGATGGTGACCTGAGCCGAAGGCAGAGGCTTAACCCACGGAGCCACCCAGGTGCTCCTCTCTGTTCTCCTTTTATCTGAACTTTTCCATTTTGATCTTTTAAATCATATTTCAACAATTCTAAATGCTTACTTATATCCTCTGCTTTTATATTATTCTACTGCTTAAGTTTATTATCATCATATATGTTAGCAATGTTTTAAACTTTTTATTTTGGAATAAAATATAATCTTTTTTTCCTCCTCTCCACCCCACCGCTATTTCTTAGACTGGTGATTTCTGTTTTTAACATTTCTCATTGTGCTGGTCTATTAAAACTTCTGCATTTTGTTGCTATAATTATCTTTTGAAATTTTATTTTTCCTCTCCTGTGGTTTGCTTTCACACAGGATGTTGGAATTGAAGCTATAGGAGGAGGCTCACACTAGCTTCTTTTCTTATGGGAAATGCTCTTTTTCCCTTAAGGTACTCTTCTGGGAAGATTTCCCATTCCCTTCAACGTTGGTTCTTAAAAATCAAATCAAATCAAATAACAAATAAGGAAAACTCACCACACAGAAACCTTATTTTGAATAACTTTAGAGATGAGAAGGTTAAAAATCATTAACTGCCCCAGATAATTTCTCTGCATTGCTTACATATTGGAGTCCCTGAAGTGCTGTTTTTCTCACTTCAAAACATTTTTTCATGGTGTATATTAATTAGCCCTTTTATCAGGAGCTGATATTCTAACTATTATGGATTCTGACATAGACAAGCAGTAGATATATGGAAAGTTATGTAATGTGGCAAAGACCATGTTTGAAATGCTTGTCCAAGTGAAAGATTATATTCCCCCACTTTCTTCCTGCCCCTTAGCTTTCACTTTTTAGGAACCCCCCCCCGCCCCCAATTTGATGATTAGATCAGAGCTGGGCACCTAAACTCAAGTGGAAGCTGGGTACGGGGGAAGGGGGTGGGGAGTCAGGTGTCTGGACTTAGGAGGAGCACCGTGCGTGTTGGAGGGCTCTTAGTGGCCGTGGTCTGCAGTGTGGCCAGCAGAGAGTGTGACCCAGATGCACACGGAGCAGACACAGAGTCTGGGTCCCTGATGCTCTCCATTGTCCTGTTCTGGCCTGCCTGGTGTTGCTCTAGTCCTGTGTGTGGGTCCCGTGAGCCATTCTGGGAACCTTAAATCATTTCCTCTTCATTTCTAGTACTTGAATTGGATGGAAACTTAACCCCAAGTAGAATAAACAGAAGAGAGGAAGGAAAATGAGTAGGAGTTTTTGCCGGGGGAAGGACCCTCTGTCTATTCAAAGTCCCAGACAGGTCTCAGTGAGGAGCCTGGTTGTCTGAGCCTCTTGATGCAATATGGGGGGTGGGATGGGGGTGGCTGTGTGTGTGTGTGTGTGTGTGTGCGCACGCCCAGGAGAGTGCCTGGAGTGCTATCTGGCATTGTAATGACAGCAGCCTCCCCTTGGAAAGTTTGTGTCCAAACGGATCTATTTTCCTTCTCAGTAAGGTTGCATAAGCTTAGCAATTAGCTTTTTAGCAACTTTCTCATTTAATGTTTTATAAAGATTTATTGATTTATTTGAGAGAGTGTGCAAGCGGGGGGAGTGGTAGAGGGTGAGGGAGAGAGTGAATCTCAAGCAGACTCCATGTAGCGTGTGGAGCCCAACATGGGTCTCGATCTCATAACCCTGAGATCATGACCTGAGCCAAAATCAAGAGTCGGACACTTAACTGACTGAGCTGCCCAGGCTCCCTGCAACGTCCTCATTTTATAAAAGAAGCAGAGAGAATGAGTCCAGTTAAAATTATCTCCAGCATATAAAGCACATAGACAGTTGTGTATTTGTAGGAGAGAGGCATTTACTAGACACACTTAGGTAGAATCCCTCTGAGCAGCCATTCGAAAGCATCCAATTTCACTGTGTGATTACGGGTTTTTGTTTCCACTAGTAATTCAGAAGCTGGTTCCAGACACTTGCTTCCTGGACTCAGACTTCTGAGACCTATGCACCTGATGACTCTAGAAGTTCCAACTGTTTACACACAGCAATGTGTTGCCCTGCTTCTTGTTCGCAGAAAAGCCACAGTGACACCATTCCCCAGGCTCAGAGCTAATGCTGCTGCCAGTGTCTTCGGGCATTACTGGCATCACTGAGGAGCCTGTTAGAAATGCACATCCTTGGGCCTCAATTAAGGATTACCAAATCAGAATCTGCAATGGGGGGGGGGGTTGTCTTTAGCAAGCCCTCCAGGTAGATCTTATGCATGCTCAGATTTGAGAATGACTGTCTTAGAGCACAGGGCCAATGCCTGGTGACAGTGCCTATAGCTAAGGGATCAAAGAAAATTAGAGAAGAGTTGGGTGGGTCTGTGTTATTAAGGGAGAGATTCTAAGACTAAAGTTCCAAGGAATAGGAACAAGGTTTCTAAATATTCTGAGTCACCCTAGAAATAGATATCTGGAAATATATCAGATCTTTTTCTTATCAGGCAGACATGGAGAGTAGCAGAAAATGTATCGCTTCAAGAAGAGATATCAGGAAGCTTATAGAAGGAGGGCAATGTGTCCTCTAGGAAGTGAGAGCTAGGGCTGGTGTCCCCACTTGTTGGAGCTTCCAGGACTGAGGCTGAGGTGTCTAGCCTGGCCACACCCTCACACTGGAGAAAACAAAATTTCCCTTCCTACCCTGCCTCCTCCCGGGGCAATCTTATGTTTCTGGGGTGTAAGAGCATTTTAGAGTTGGGGGCTGTTTTCTCCAAGCACCCCACCTCCAATTCATACTTCAGAGAGAAGGACTCTAGCCAATCAGTAGCATTTTGGGATAAAATATATTTCTGTTGAAAGAATGGATAAAATATATTTCTGTTGAAAAAAAGGGATACATTTTACCAGCCCTGATGCAAATATGAGATGAATGAACATATTTAAAGTAAAATCCACCTTAGCATGAGCTGGGGTTGCTACCTGGAGTACATTTTAACCCTATCTGCTAAAAACAGAGCCTTTGTTAAATAAGAATCTTATTAAAAGCCCCTTGCTTCATCCTTTCAAATAAGAAACAAAAGGGACAGTCTACAGGAGCCACCCCCTGCCCCAGATCCAATTTTATTTTATTTTATTTTTTTTTAAAGATTTTATTTATTTATTTGACGAGAGAGATCACAAGTAGACAGAGAGGCAGGCAGAGAGAGAGAGAGAGAGAGGGAAGCAGGCTCCCTGCTGAGCAGAGAGCCCGATGCGGGACTCGATCCCAGGACCCTGAGATCATGACCTGAGCCGAAGGCAGCGGCTTAACCCACTGAGCCACCCAGGCGCCCCTCCAGATCCAATTTTAAATGAAGCACCTGCCGGTAAACATCTCTCCCTCTGCCATTCTTCCTCCCTCCCTCCCTCCTCTGGACACGAGAGATGCCCTGAGGAAGCTGGACAGTGTGTGGGAGAACATCACAGAAATAAACAAGCCGGCAATGGGAAGACAAAGCCACGACCTACAGAGCAGTCACGGCAAGGCTACAAACAGACACTAAAGCAAAACAAGTCAGGAACTTGTGTTTTCAGAGCACGGCCGTGTGGGATTTGCATTCCACAGCAAGAGTGATTGGACATTTTCAACACGATCAGGGCAGAATATTTACCTCATGTTTGCGGAGCGCTTCTCAGCAGTTCTGGAAGGCTGTAGCTCAGGCTGCTGTGCTCTTCAGAGATCTTCCTGCTCTGTCTTCCAGAGATGCTAGGGAGACGTATATATGGGGGCATTTCTTGGTTCCTTTGCTGTGTTTTCCTAAGGTTTGCTTTAGGAAAAAGAAACTGAAACTGGAAAGTACAACCAGCAGTGCTCTAATAAGAAATGAATCTTGAGTAAGAGCCGCGCCTGTAGCACCCCCATCCCCCACCCTGTGGTGAGTCAGAACTTCCTCTTTGTGACCACAGTGACAGCCTAGATCAGCTGACATGAAGCCCAGCTTGGAGAGGGGCACAGGTACCAAGCACCAAGTACCCTGCCTCTTGAGACCACAATGTTAACCCCTCCTCGTTATGCCTGCCCTTATCACCAGCATGGTCCGCAGGCCCCAGTGAGGGATGCTCTTTTTTTTTTTTTTAAGATTTTATTTATTTATTTATTTAACAGAGAGAGAGAGAGAGAGAGAGAGAGAGAGGGAACATAAGCAGGGGGAGTGGGAGAAGGAGAAGTGGGCCTCCCGCTGAGCTGGGAGCCCTGTGTGGGACTCAATCCCAGGACCCTGGGACCATGACTCAAGGCGAAGGCTGACGCTTAACAACTGAGCCACCAAGGCACCCCCGCCAAACAGCTCCTAACACCTGTACACATTCTGGGCCTCCCCGAGCGCCGCAACATTTAAAGTCCCTTGGCTCACCCTGGTGTCCCGCACTCCCACATCACAATTTGCAACCACGGCGGTTTGCTGTGATGGAGAAAATGTACTTTCTTTGCTTTTTCCTTATTCATACCCCTGATCTCAGAGGGGTGACAGTGTGTGTGGACCCAAGAGGAAAAGAGATAACAGCACTAGGAATCTTTGGTGTCTGGAAATTACACAGAGCATGAGTGAAGCCTGTTCTCCAGGACCACTGAGTACAGCTGAGGCATGTTAGTTCAGTCTTGGAGAGAGCCTTCTGGATGTCTGTTTGTGTCTGTGAGCGGCAGGGTGGAAGGAGGAGCTATGCTTCTTGACAATTCTCTACCCTTTGATTGGGACACAGAGTCGAGCCTATCCCTATTGGAAACGCTTACTTTTGGATGTCATTCAGGAGTTACAAGTTCTAGTATATATTTATAGAAATGGATGTTAGGGGCGCCTAGGTGGCTCGGTCAGTTAAGCATCTGCATTCAGCTTGGGTCACGACCTCAGGGTCCTGGGATGGAGCCCTGTATTGGGCTCCCCATTCAGTGGGGGAATCTGCTTGTCCCTCTACCCCTTCCCTTGCTCATGCTCTCTCTCTCTCTCTCTCTCTCTCAAATAAAAAAAATAAAGTCTTCAAAAAATGTATGTTAGTTGTACAAGAAATGCTGCAAAAGGAAACTAGGAACACGGTGGGATTTTTTGGTGTCGTATGTTTTGAATTTGCATTCAAGAAAACAACCGGATAGAAATGTTTAAATCTCATTATAAAGGTACCAGGTGGGGAGAAGCACAGGGAAAGCATGTGCTAGCTGTGTTCTGAAATGCCTGGAGGGACTGTGGTACTCTTCAGAAATCCATATGGCCAGTGCCTGAGTGTAATGCATTCACGAGAGGAATGCCCCAGCTGATCTGGCAGCTGGTTCGTGTTAGAAGATGCAGTGGGAATGCAGAATAGAAACTGAAAAGGAAAACCAGCTCTTTTCCGGTTATATGTCAATGATGAGAAAAGTGAAACTGACTCAGCGAGTGTTCTGATTACTCAGGCTGTTACAACTATGTATGTGTCTACTGAGTGGTTACATCAAATACGAAGTGGTATAATGCACTAGGCCCATGCTGCCATCAACCCCAAGAAATTTCAGGTCCACCTGGGGACCTGCCACAAATGCAAATTGTCAGGCTCCATCCTCCATCAATGCATCAGCAATTCTAGGAGTGGGGCCAAGGAATCTCTGTGTTAGGAAACTTCTCAAACAATCCTAATACATGTTATCAAGTCTGAGAACCACACAATATTTTGACTGTAAGTAAAAATTTTAATTCCATAAAACAAAACCCTATAGGTTTTTCTTGAGATTTATGGGGAGAAAATGGCCCTCTCTTTTGTTCTCTGTCTCTGTAGAGAATGTCTGACGTAAGCTTTGTCTGCCTAGAAGGGTTGGTGGCTAGTTCACTACTATTCACACTGGCTAGAGGACTCTTCATACCCTAAACATCCATAATGTGCCCTTCTTGCTAAACACAGAACGTACTCAGGACTTTCCCAATAGAGTCCACCCAGAATCAAGGCAACCATCTTTCCCAGCGATGCTCAGGGAACTCTCAGAGATCCCCGGTTCCCCTCTATGGACAGGGTGTGACTTCCTGTGGTCTGGTGAGAAAAATCTTAAAAGACTAGATAAGATTAGATAACTCCTACAGGCCCGATGGGGCACGAGAACCAAAGGAAACATCCCAATTGAAGAAAGGAAACATGGAGGAAGTTCAAAGATCACAAGTCAGTAGAAATGACCAGCCTCTGCTGGATAGGCATTTGGGAGACCAAGATTCTGCTCTCTGATGAGAACCTTGTCATCATTCTCCATATCCCTGTCCCCACCCCCTGGGAGGCTCTTTCTGACATTAATTCTTGTATTCCCACATCTCTGCCACGAGCTGGGGTTTGTGTTCACCTTCTGGGCCCCAGAGACTCCTGTGCTCACACAGAACCTTTGGTGATAATACCCTTCGATGGAGAGGTTATTCAATGAAGCAATGCCTCTGAAGACTGCCTCAAATATTTGTCAGTGTCTGATTCTGAGAATAAAGAGTTTTAAAAGTTGATGATCATGGAAGCATTGGTAAGTAAAAGAGAGATGAAAAAGGCCACATAAAGATACAAGGGACAGCAGAGGAAATGTGTGGAAGTGCATCTCTGCATGTGTACAGACTTCTGGTTCACTTTGAATTAGCAACAGGAGCTTTTCCACCTCTCTTCCCAACTCTTCCACCAGCTCTCTGGAAGAAAGCCATGGCTACTTCAGTTTCCGACCAGACTTTGCCCGTTCCTTGGGGCTCCTCTTGCACTCAGTAAAGGGCTACAGTCAGGGAGCCCCCATAACAGGCAAGGCCAAGAAATACTGGCTAAGATCACCCCTCAATGTCAGGGCAGGGAAGTATCACTGTGAACTTTGTGGAGTTTATGATCTGAGGGCAAGGTTAAACTTTCATCCATCTAATGACCGGGGGGCGGGGTGGCGGGGAGCCCTGCAACCTGGAAGCACATAGGATGATGAAGCTCTTCCCTCTTCATCGGGAAATGAGACAACTATAGGGTGTGTGCCGTCAGCAGAAGCACAATATTGGAGCATGAATTTAAAGAGTTGTGCCCTTCGTCTTGGTGCATTCTCATTCATCAAATTCCTTGATGCCTTTGGGAGCTCAAGAGAAGTTTGTTGCACAAAAAGTAAATTCCTGAACACGGATGGTGGGACAGGTGAAGAGAGGTCAGAGCAAAGGTCTAGGACATGGTTACACTTTCAAGGATCAGTTGCGGTGGACACCATTATGGACTGGCGAAGAGAGTAGAGGACACACTGTATATGTTAGGGGTGGGGTGAGTGGTGAGTAGTGGCATGTAAGATGAAGGCATGAAGAAAGACCTGGAATCTGGAGACTTGTTGATTAGGTGCAGAGATCTTCAAATGTTTATTAGTGTGGGTTGGACCCAGCAAGAACCAGTTGCAGAATGGACACCAGTGGGGTGGGAACGGCACTCTTGCTTCACCGTCTTTTGTTTTGAATTAGGTAAGTCTTCCTTCCATATAGACTCCCAGCCAACCCATTTCTTCTCTGGAGACTACCCTAGAAGAGCTACGTCCTTTTCACAAATATTCTGCAAATAACGTGATAGGCTTTTTTTCCTCCTCCTACCCTTCCTTCCTTCCTTTGAACAATGTTAGCATGTCGTATACACTCTTCTGCACTTAAAAAAATTTTAAAAATATATCTCAGAGAAGTATTCTATATTTTTATAGTTAGAACGACCTTTTTTTTTTTTTACATTAGCTGCATGCTGTTCTCAGCATGAAATATGAAAATTGAGTTAATGAGTCCCCTAGTGATGGACATTTGAGTTGTTGTCAGTCCTTTGTTATTATAAGCAAAACTTCATGAGTATCTTTATACATGTCTTTGCATGCATATGCAAATACAGGATAGATTAATGAGTGGAATTGCTGGGCAAAGACTCACGAATGTTCACCTGCCATCAACAAATGCCCTCCATCTACAGGATTTATAATCTCAACGGCAGTGTGTGATGGAGCCTATTCACCCACATCCTTGTTTAGGACCTTTTTCCGAAAGGTGTTTCTTTGGTTGACCTGAGATGACCTCTCTTAATAGTGTTGGTTTGCTTTCTTTTAATAAGAGCAACATTGAGAATCATTTCCCTTTTTAAAGCCATTTTGATTTCCTGACCTTTGCCCATTTGTCCAGAGGAACTGTTTCAGCATTAAGGAAGTTAATCCGTTACCTGGTCATGTACTGAAACAGTATTTTTAAGTCTGTCATTGATCTTTTGACTTTCCAGAGGGCCCTCTTCTATGAAATGTGTTTCATAGTGTGGTTGAATTCCAGAATTCATAGTGTGGTTGAATTCATAGTGTGGTTGACTTTTTAGAGGTCCCTCTTCTATGAAACGTGTTTCATAGTGTGGTTGAATTCCTTAATACTTTTGCCCTTTTGTGTTTTGTTTCATACTTACAGCTTCCAGACTGTGTGATCTGAAAAATCCTCTCAAGAATTCCTCTAGAAATGTTGTGATTTCTGTTTCTGAAACATTTAAATCTTTGGTTTGTATGGAATTCATTTGGGAGTGTAAGGAGCAAGGAAGGAGGACCAGGCCCCAGTGCTGCTGTCTTCCCTTGTTCCCGTAAGCAGTGTTGAGTACCCACTGTGTCCCAAGCCGAGGGCAAGGCGTGGGACGAGAGCTGGATGGTACAGAGTCCCACGGTCCCAAAGCAAGTGCTTGCCCTCAAAGGAGATTTTGCTCAAAATATCTGTAGGACAGAGGAAAAATGATTCTGCATTTCCAGGTCTGGCTGAGAGAATTTTGGGAAACCCAGAAAAAGAGACAACAACATGAGAAGCCCAGCCATCTGGCTCACCTCCTGCCAGTTGTGGTTTCTCAGTCTTTCTGCGTCCCTGTTTCCCTCCCCTTCGTAACCACCTTGCCAGGCCTCCTACACCTCTCTCTTGCTCTCGCTCTGACTCTTCTCTATATGAGGCCCCGGGACTGGTTACAGGCTCTCTCTAGGGCGTTCTGCTTCTCTGGATGGTGGGTCCCACCTGCTTCCATGGTCTTTTCCTCACTGCCCTTCTCAGCCCGCAGGGCAGGGGGGACAACACCGCTGGCCTCTGCTGGCACACTGTCCCATGGGTGCCCCTTTCTATTCAGCTCCCAAATGAATCTGGAGAGATGCCAACCCATGGCATCGGAGGTATTTTTAGAGAGTCGTTTGTGGGCAATTTTTCTTAGGTTGACAATCAGCTTTTCCTTCTCAGTCACTGTCCCGTTGATGTTCAAACCCTGCAGGTAGTGGTGGATGGCAGTGTCGTCCCGCAGTCGCCGGTACTGCTGGAAGTGTCCATAGCGCAGGCAGAGCACTTGTCTCTTGGCGGGAGGCAGATCCTTACTGAATTCTTTCTGGAAGTAATACTCTGCCTTATCATACTGGCCAGTGATGGCATAGAGGCAGGCAGGGTCAGAGCAGGCACGGGGAATGTTAACATTCAACTCGACAACTCTCTTAAAGTGATCCAGTGCGTGTCTCGTCATCTCCCACAGCTCTGCTTCCTTCTCCTTCGTGGCATACCTCCGTGACTTCTGTATTTGCCCGATTTTGGCTCTGTAGCAGCATGCGATCTGCAGATGTTGAAAAACGTTGTTTGGTACCAATTCTAAAGCCTTTTTAAGTAATTCGATAGCCGTGTGTAGAGTATCTTTATTTCGGTAATACTTGGCCGCACTGCAGAGTACGTCTGTGAGGCATGGCGTTTTCTTCAAGGCCTCTTCGACTAGCTTATCTCCTTCAGCTTGTTTCTGGGTCTTCTGGAGAGTCAGAGGCAGGAGAACATGAACATACTGGTTATCAGGATTCAGCTGGATGGCCCGCCTCAGAAGGCGAACGGTGTTCTCTATTGGTGCTTTGTCACCCAGACTGTAGAGTGTGATGGCCAGTCCCAGGGAGAATTCCGGATTGGTGGGGTTTTTTTGCAAAGCCTTCTCAAAACACACCTTTGCCCATTCATAATACTTTTCTCCCCATTTTAAAAGGGCCCATCCTTTTTCACAATTTCTAGACATTCAATTCTGTAAGAGCTCGCAAACTTCTTGCAAAGATGTCCTACCTTGTCAATGTAAGCCTGTGCTTCTGGAAGCCTGCCCATGTGATAATAGACCCAGGCGTAGTTTCCCCAGGTGACCAGACTTCGGATTTTGCCTTGGCGGGCCTGTATGTGCAGGATAAACTCTTCTGCTTGCTGTAAATATCCCAGAGCCTCCTCGTTCTGGCCTCGGAGGTGTTTAACATAGGCAAACAGATTGTACATGATTGCTCTGAATTCTTTGTTTAGAAACTGTACCTGGTCACACACTCTGTTCTCCAAGTCATCTAAGGAACTTTCTTCATATAAATTCCAGGTAAAATGGCATTTCAGTTGTAGTAAGCTATTCTCCAGGGAATGTTTGGTGATTTCCCTGGGGAAGAAGAGCAGACATTTGGGGATGTGAATGAGCGGATGGACAAAGCAACAGGTTTAGGGCATGGCTACTTGACCACTTCTGAGAAGGCCCAAACAATGCTGGCACTCTGATCCAGAATTGTGAGAAATGAATTTCTGTTGTTTATAAGCTACCCAGTCTGTGGTATCTTGTGATAGACCCCCAAAGGGATGGAGATGATGGGATGGCCCAGAAAGAAAGGGGGAGTGGAGGAAATTTATTACCCAGGGACACCCCAAGTCCACCTGTCTTAGAGAAGGACGGGCACAGGCATTCTGGAGCTCCAGCTGCAACAGAAGGAAATTTCTCTGTAGAAATTGTTGGAGAATGGTGCGGGAGGTGAGTAATAATATTTAGTGAGGTTGGTTTTTTGTTTCTTTTCTCGAGCATGGACACCAGGGTGTGAGCCTGGGCTTCTGATCCACCCCAATATTCAGGGGAACTAAGAGGAAATGCTGGGCTTAAGACACCAAGAGATGAGAGAGGAATCATTTGGGGCTGGATGTGAAGATATCCCTCGGGGGTCCTTTCCTAGGGATGGAGTGTGCACAGAGTGTTAATTTATTCAGGTTGACCCGGGACAGGCTTTTGGCCCTTCTGACGTGGGGCCAACAAGTGTGGCCCCATCTGTGTTACCGTCTCTTCCTTTGCTGAGCTGGCTCTTTGGGCAGATTCACGAACTAGAACAGCTCCAATGTCCTCCACCCTCTACCTGGGTGGGTGCCCCCTGATGCTGCAGGTCCACCACCCTTTCGATTTGCTCAGTGGCCACAAAGACAGTAGTCTGGTTCCTTACAGAGACAAAGGGACATCTGGAGCATAAGAGACACAGGACACAAAGAGCCCACATGCAAATGCTATTCACAAAAATCAAAGGGCAAACTAGAAAACAGAAATTAAAAGATTATAAGCATGGCAATACCTAATTTAATTATCAATTAGGTATTAATTAATTAATACCTAATTTACTACCTAAAAGGCTCTTTTAGTATTTGTATTTCAGAAGATACTTAGACGAGCAGGTAGTTCAAAATTCATCAACACACATATTAAAAAAAGGTCACTGATCAAAGAAATGCAAATTAAATCAATAGCATTTCAGTGCCATTAAAACTTCGGTTACAGAAAAAGATTTTGAAAAAATCACAGCTGGGCACTTTTACTTGTACATGAGGGTTTGGAACACATTTTGACATAGAACTTTCAGGGAACTGTGGCAAAACATACAAGAAGCTCTTGACATAAAAATTTGTATGTTAAGAATGTATAGAAAACCAGACATTCAGTCAGAGGTTGTGACGGCCTATGGATGTGTCCACTTGGCTAGGTTATCGTGCATGGTTATCCGCTCAAACATGAACCTAAATGTTGCTGTGAAGGTATCTTGGAGACATGATAAAGTCCACAAGCATTTAATTTTAAGTAAGAAAGATTATTTTACATAACCTGGGTGGGCCTGGCTTAACCAGTCAAAAGGCTCGGGAGATAGTGCTGAGGCTTCCCGATGCAGAAATTCTGCCAGTGACGGCAGCCCTCATCATCACCTAGGCCGATTCCTTACATCATGTCTCTTCCTGTATCTCTCCTGCTGTCTGCTTCTCTGCTGCACCCTGACTGCCACAGAAGTCTGTGAATGAGGGATGTTCATCACAGGATGAGTTACAACTGCCTAAAACTGTAGGTGATGGTGGAAAAACATATTTGAAGGTATCATGAGACTACCCATGGGACACATGAGACCGTTTTAGCTCCCTCCTCAAATCCTACTATGATGACATGGTTTATGAAGGCTTCTAACCCTGAAGGAAAGGGAACACAAAGACAGCAAGATCTTGGAAACCCTGGCACATTTAGGCGAGTGGGGATTGCTTTTACCAAACACGGGAACATGGGAGAGCTAACTCTGCCAAAAGGGGGGACCCACCCAAGAAGCAACCCATTGGTAAAGCAGAATTCCCAAAGGCTCAGGAGTTAGCAGCACCGAGGTGCTGCAGAAATGTGTGTGTGTGAGTGTGAGTGTGCGTGTGTGTGTATGAGAGAGAGAGAGAGAGAGAGAGAGAATGAACTGGGGTCCCTGGGCTCTCCCGCAATAGAAAACGACCAGAAGCCAAATTGGAAGCTCCAGGCAAGTCTTACTGGGGGCTTATGCTCAAGCACAAGGCGAACACCACAAAGAAAAGGGTCCTTCATGCTGGCTCACGGAACAAACGCCAGGGAAAGATTTTAAAGAGACTGAGGAAAGAAGTGACCTCTAAGGACTAGGGGGCTGGGGTGGGGGGTAGAGGGTGTAGGGATGGAGGAGAGACTGGAGTTGCGTGCGCAGGCGCAGTAGACAGACCCTGCCTCGTGGGTCCCCTCAGCTCGTTAAATCTCCACCGTGGGGTGCGATTTTTATGTTACAACGTGGGACACAGCTTGTCAAAGGGTCAGCGCTGGGGTCCACCTCGGAGCAGACTGGTTTGGTTCTGTCTTCGCCCGGCTTCGTGGTGGAGGCCCGTTTGGTAAGCTCCTGCCTCCTGCGTTCCCGCAAGATGTGTTACTCCGAAGCGCGGCTTCAGCTGTCAGGGAGCCCCGGGGTTCAGGTCAGGATGGAGGGGACCCCCAGTCCAGCCCGGCTCTGTCTCAGCAGGAAGACTGATGAAAAGTCAGCTTAAGAAGAAGCTGTTCTCGGGAGCCTGGGTGGCTCAGTGGATTAAAGCCTCTGCCTTTGGCTCCGGTCATGATCCCAGGGTCATGGGATCGAGCCCTGCATCGGGCTCTCTGCTCGGCGGAGAGCCTGCTTCCTCCTCCCTCTCTCTGCCTGCCTCTCTGCCTACTTGTGATCTGTCTGTCAAATAAATAAATAAAATCTTTAAAATATAAAGGAGGAAAAAAAAAAAAAAAAAAAAAAAGCTGTCCCTACAGACTCTGGCTCCGGTCCATGCACAGAAGGTTGAAGGTGTGCCCTGTGCAGAGGGTGAGACGGACGGTCCTGGGCCGCCGTTACAGGCACCGCAAACCAGAGAATTAAATAAATTTTGCGTGTGGCATGTTGAGACCACGTCTTCCCGAGTTAGTTCTAAAAATGCTGCCGCCGGGCTTACTCCTTCCGGGCAAGGGACGAGTCGCCTGTTACGGAGGAAGCGGAGGACGTCCAGGTCACCGACATCAGGAGTTTCTCGTCCCATGGCGTGGTGGGGGTCCCCATATAAGGACCCCCTTGCAGGAGCTCCAGGCTCCCGGCGGGCTCTTTAGCGTTTCTTTCTCAGTCATGAACTGGGCGTCAGGGAATCCCCAGATATTTTAGGAAAGCCTCGCACCTGCAGGACAGTGGCCCGAACAGGCACGTGGTAAAAGTGTCCCGAAGGGAGCAGAAGACTTAAAACAACAAGAACAGAACAAATAAAGGGTCATTGATAAATTGAGATACGGGAGAAGACGCTGCATCCATGGAATAAAAGAAAATGCTTTGAAAAACTCCCAAACATTTAAAGAACATGGAAGAAGTCTTGGAAATTAAAACAATTAAATTAGGTGGAAAAACTCAAAAGCTTATGATTGAAAGGACAAATGGTAAGAAAAAAAATTAGAGGGACAGACTTGGAGGACCGACATCTGAATAATATGAATTCTAGAGGGGACAAGGGAAAGGAAAGGAAGAAAGAACATTCTAGAAGAGTGCGGCAGAGTTTCCTCTGAATGGGAAGGCTGTAAGTTTCCGCGTGGTAAAAAGAAACTTTAGCCCCTTTCGTCAGACATCTTAGTGAAGCTGCAGGGGGAGCAGCGGCTCCCCGAGCTTTGCGATGCCACCCGAGGATGAGAAGAAGAAAGATGCTGGGAAGCTGGCCAAGAAAGACAAAGATCCAGGGCACAGATCTGGGGGTGAGGCCAGAAACAAGTGGTGCAAAGGCAAAGCTCGGAACAAGCTCAATAACCCAGTGTCATTTGACAAAGTGACATATGACAAGTCTGTGCGGAAGTTCTCATTATAAGCTTAGACCCCCAGTAGCTGTCTCTGAGAGACTCAGGATTCCTCCGCCAGGACAGCCTTTCGGGAGCTCCTTGGTCAAAGACTGAGATTAAACTGGTCTCAAAGTCGGAGCTCAAGTCGTTTACACCAGAAACACTGAAAGTGGAGGTGTCCCAGGTGCTGGTGAAGATGCTTGAACATGTCCTACCAAATGTACATTTTGAGGAATAAAACTTTATTTAAAAAAAAAAAAAAACTCTTACCAAGTATGTGATGGTAAGCTTTTAGAACACTACTGACAGAAAATTCTATAGTTCCTGGGGGAAAAGGATTTATATAACACAACAAGAATCCAAATGCTGTTGAACAACTGAACAACGATGAGAAAAACGAGAAGACAACGGAGGAATGTCTTCCAAAAACTGTGGAAAGAGAATTTTAAATTTAGAATTCTTAACATAACCACATAATCATTAAAATTCAAGGAAAGTGTGAAGACCCTTTCATACACTTAAATAAAAAATTTATGTTACAGACACTTGCTCAGGAAGCTCAGAGGAGATGCCCTCTGAAAATTAAGAGTAAACTCAGGTAGTAAATAAAGAAGTAAGATTTAATAAACAGGATGAACTGCAAGAGAGGCTCTTACATAAGATGCAGGGGAGAAGGAAATACTCCATACTCCCCCCACCAACCTGGAGATCAGCCAGTGTAGACAGGAGTAGCTCAAAGGTCCTGTGAGTGATCACCACTGAAATACGACAATGGCAGACTGCCTCAGGTTTGAAAATATGGAAAGGAGCTTTGTTCAACTAGACTAGAGCTTGGGGCCGAGATGGTGATAAGTGTTTAGAAACAGAAGAAAAAGAAACAACCCCCCCACTTTTGTTTGTTGTTTCCTTTAGCTTCAGAAAAAAATGAAACAAAATACAGGAAAAGAAAGCTCATGGTAGATAGAACAAGACAAGGCTCAGCTGTGAATAGGGTTTATGGGATTGTAAGAATCCAAATTCTGAATAT